CATTAGAATTTGAAAAAGTAAGTACTGCAATCACATTCATTGTTTAAGTCCATGCAACACTTTTCACTTTATAAAGCACTCCTGCATGCATTAGCTCATTTGGGAAAATTGCAGAGAATTTGCTAACTACAGGAAGATATATAGAAGCAATAAAATTTATCTTTGAATCCATCACTCACAGAAAAATTTTTGTTAACCTTGTAATGTTTTCCTCAGCTGAGTTTTAGTGGATTTTTTGTTTGTTTGTTTTTGTTGGGACCTTACTATATATACAATTTTTTCTTTTTTTAATGGCATGCTTTGTTAAGGCATATTATGTTTTCTGCCATTCCATTTGAAGCTCCTATCTTCTGTGGAAGAAGTAATTGTGTAGTGTGAAGTGTTCCTGGCTGGACGTTCGAAGAGGGAGGGCCTAGGTTTTCTCCTTTGAAAAAGAGATGTGTGCTAAGGGATTTAAAATGTGAGACAGTGCACCCCAAAACATTAACTTGGCACCCAACACCCAGCACTGAGCAGGCCCTCTATTCATAGCCGTGTTAGGTGCATCCCATGGTGGTGGTAGTAAAGGTATTTCGAACATGTAGCTGGCATCTGGGTACCCTGAAGTCTCACAGACAGATCTACCTGTCTTAGGATATCTGTGTGGTATCCCGACAGTAACACCTCCTAGGTGACCATCACACTGATGGTTATATGTGGACTTGGATTTGTATGAATCACACACCACTGATACCGTGAATTTCATAAAAGAGAACATAGGTACTCTAGAACTGCATCCCAGCCTTCTCTGCTAGAGCAAGCTACACCTTGGTAGTTCTGGAGTCATTTTCCTTGATGGTCACTTCCTTTCTTAGCATGAAGTAATTGATACCAACAAAGGCTTATATAGCTTTTAAGGTGCTTGGAGTGTCCTGGGTTTAGGGGTTCTAATTTGAATGGAGATTCATTCTATGGGTGATTTAGAAAGTAGAGCCATTAACTTGATAAGTTCTTTTCCATTGGTCCATATAAAGAGAAGTAAACCCCCCATACATTTCATTGTGTTGTCAGTAATAATCTTGCCACATAAATTAAGATACTTGATTGAAAACTCATCAAAGGAAGATGTGAGTCTTAAAAGCTCACATACAAACATCCATACATCCTTTTCCCTTGCCTCCACAAAAGCAGAAACCATGCGCCTTTTTTAGTATATTAAAGCCACAAAGCAAAACCAAGGGGAGACAAAGCCAAACATATTCCTTCAAGGAGTTTGCAAATGTTTCTTTTCTGAACTGGAAACTGTTCAATTACAGTGTGGAAGAGAGAAAGAATGTCAGAGATAATCAAGGCACAGAGAAGACACCAATGAGACATGGAGGGAGCTGTATATATAGAATGAAAGAAAGGTAAAAAAGCCACATGGTAAAACATAGTATAATAAAAGCAGGTTAATTTAAATTATAAGAGCTATACAGACAAGCTTAAGCTAAGTCCACACTTTCATAATTAATAATTGATCTCTGTCATTATTTGGGAGCTGGTGGGACAGAAAGAGTTGTTACATGATTTAGCCTAAGGGTGCTTACAATACAAGCATGATGAGTTTATTCAGTAGCCATGTAAAAAGCCAGGTGTGTGACATACACTTTTAATGCCAGTGCTAAGGAGTCAGAAACAGGCCAGTAGCTTACTTGTTGACCTGCCTAGCAAAATCAGCAAACACCACATCCCAGTGAGAGACCCGACCTCAAAAATCCAGGTTAATTGCTTCTGAGGCTATCTTCCACATGTGCATGCACGCACGCATGCACAAACACACACATAAAATCAGGAGGGCAGACACCCCTGAACCTTCTCCCTAACCTAAGCCCTTGCCCAAAGTTGTCTCCAGGGGCTTACCTTCTTTCCTAATGGTGTTAACAGGTGATGTTGAATGAATCGCTCCTCACTCCAAGGGCTTGATGCATGTGCAGCACCTCTCATCGTCCCTTGTGTGGATGTAGGGGATCTTTACTCTTTCCCCTTATACTTGAGGAAATCAGACTTCAGAAAAGTTAAAAAGAAGCCACCCACTCACCTGAGGGGTAGGGGAGGAGGGATCCAACCTGCAACCTTAGACTCTGCACTCTATCAGAATCTTAACCTGAGACCAAATTAGCATCTTCCCTAGAGAGTGATGGGTACACATGGACCCAGGTGTGACGTGTCTAAGGGCCCTTAGGAATTTGAAGCTACTTTCTCAGCTGTTAGGTGAGGTTTACAAGGATCTCCCTCAGAGTGTTCAGAAGGGGATAAGCACCTGTGCAGATAAACACATGCTATGCATCTGCTTGCTTCCTAAAACTTGGTCTGCCATCAAACACCCTTGAGTGCAAATAGTGAAAATAATAGGCTTAACTATGTATTACTTTATATGAATAAAATTAGAGGAAGCAAAGGAAAATTGGAGGTCAGGCCAGCACAGTGATGGTGTTCATCTTGTTGCTCACCAAATCTTTTTCATTCTTCCAACATATTGCTATTGGGCATTCTGTTGTGCACTAGGCATACGGGGGGGGGGGGGCATCTTGTAAGGGATGTCTTTAAATAATTGCAGTTCAAATTGACAAGTGCCTAATGGAGTTTGGGATCAACTCTTCAAGTCTAAAGAAGAAATGGAAAAGCTGTCCTGGAAGGGCCTGTAGTGATCTCACAGAAAATGAATATCTAAGCCATCTCGAAAGTAAGATAGAGGGGGGTAGAAAAAAGAGTCCAGTGAGGGAGGGCTTTCCAAAAATGTGATGCCCAAGGAAGTCAGAAAGGCAGAGAGAAAGCCAAGTCTGAGAAGCACTAATGGAGAGCCTGCAGAGAGAGTTGAAATGATGTGTAGGACAGGTTTCTTTGCTTGTCACCAGAGATCTTCAGGTCTAATTGTGTACATCAGAAGGGGTTTTGTGGTACGCAGAATCATGGATAGAGTGAGGATTCTATTCCTCCTCCTGGTATTATATTAGTTAGGTGGCCAAAAGTGCCCCCAGACCACTAGATCTCAGCTAATCATCTGAGCATTTGGAAAGGTGTGGCTACATCTGGCCTATATAAAACCCTCTGATGAACTATGAGCAATTACCAAACAGGGCTGAAGAGCTGAAACTTTCCTTAGATTTATCAGGTCCCTTAATGAAACATGCCTCACATTAAGTGCTAATACCATATTATCAGTTATTGTTCACAACCTGTAGCTCAGTGTTATACAAGAAGTGTTCCTTAGAACAAATTGCCAAACTTAGCTGGGTTTGCTCACATTTTCTGGGCAACTAAAGAAAGTATACTGGTCATAGGTGTCTGTCCTCTCCTGTCAGGCTAGCCTGAGCATTGTCTCCTGGCTGTGGTAGAGAACCACATGTTGTTGCTTCTTGGAGTCTAGCCTCAGCAGAGGAGGATATGATCTCCCCTGAATTCTAGCACCAAAACACTATTCCAAGTTCATCCTAGATTTCAAGGACAGAGAAACAGACTCACGGCTTTAGTACACTGTACAGAGTGAGGTCACGATGCAGAGAGGAAGGAGCAGAGGAGTAATGATATCTTTTACTTTACAGGGGCATGTGTGCCACAGCTCCTCTCTTGAGAAATAATACAAAGGCACAATGGTCTGAGAGAAGCAGGTTAATGTGCTTTCTTGTGAATTATGCTATCAGTTTTGAGATTTAAAAAATGAGACTTTTTTTTTTTTGGAAAACCAGTCTATTGCTTTCAGACAGGCTAGTAAGTCCCACCATGTAAACTTTAATCTATATTCAAATATCTGATCTAATGTGATAGAGAAGGATGAGGTAACAGGACAAAAATCAGAATCATTTGTGTGATCCTTGGGAAATTATTATTTTTAAGTTTAATTTTATTGAAATACAAACTGCATGTACTGAGTCTTCTCTGCCCAAAGCTTGCAGATCATTCACATTTGGTTGCACTCAGGTAAACATCACACATCGCAGTGATGATGTAGGTCTGCCAAGCCCACTTACCCCACTCTGCCCACATATCCTAATCCCTTTCTCTTGCTATAGTTAGTGTGTTGCCAGGACATAAATACTTTTTGTCAGGTACTCTGAGATTTCAGCTCTTCAATCTGTTAAGCAGACATCATCATTTGCGTGGTAGTGGTACTGTGGGGTTTACCAGAAAGGAAATATAGTAGGTTGGGCATCTGTAGCCATGCAAAGTCTGAGTTTCTTGTTAGCGTGTTAGGTGAGCTAGTATCGGCGTAAAATGAATGCAGACAGATTGTAAAAATATATACAGCTTTAATGGGGAAATAGACTTACAGAACCAGAGATTCCCGCGGTGAACAGGAAAGCAGAAGGGGCGGCTGGGAGCATGCCCGCAATCTTTATAAGTAAAAAATATCCTTGGGGGACCCCGCCCCCAAGTAAAGTGATTGACTGGGTCTCTCCTACAAGCTAGGAGAAAGGAGTAGAACTAAACATAATATTCTACTAATGAAGACAGACTTTCATCAGAAAAAGTAAAAGAGGTTGTCCTGGTTAAATTAAATTTAAAATAATAAATGGACAGAGTTTTATGTCATTAATGCATTTGCTTGATTCTTCTCTCCTATACCTGACCCAAAGATTGAAGTATGTAGTTCCAGGAAGACAAAACCATCAGGTCACTCAGAAGCTTTCACATTTGGGATTTCCTCATCTGGAAGTATCTTCTTTGGGTTAGTTGAAACTAGATCACCGTTTGACTGACTTGCCCCAGAAAACCCTCTGTTTTATTTGTGAGAATTTTGTGTGGGCTCTATTTGTCAGTGAGCATCACTGTCTGTCTTGGCCACAAGGGGGCTCATCTCTCCTATGGAGAAGGTGCCAGCCTTTCTGATCACCCTTTGAAGTTAGAGTAATGGCTCAGGAGATAAAATAGGAGTCCTTTCTGTTAAAGTACTAACACAGGAAGTACAGACAACTGCAGACAGGCTCCTGGGTCACTTGGTGCCTTTCCTCCTATCTCCAAACCTTTTTCTTCCTTTGCAGCTTCAGAAGCAGCTGTCAGAGCTGGATGAGGATGACTTGTGTTATGAATTCCGGCGAGAACGCTTCACTGTTCACCGAACCCACCTGTACTTCCTGCACTATGAATTCGAGCCTGCTGCTGACAATACAGATGTTACCCTGGTAGCTCAGCTCTCCATGGACAGGTACGATCAATGATGTTACCCACCACACAGTCCCCATAACTGATGTTCTTTACCCCATGGAACAATGGAAGATGAGCGATGGTCTCCTAGGCTTGGAATATCAAGTTGTGTTAAGTCTAAATCATCTTCCTCGTGCTGCACAAGAGGGGTTTCCTCTTTTTGTTATCAATGTTGCTTGAGGATAATAATAAGAATTCGTTCATTAGGAGTAAAGCCCTGCTGAAGAGGCTACACACTGGAGCTTAGTTACTGCTCCATTGCTGCTGTGAAAAGACACCATTATTAAAGAAACTACTTCAAAAGAAAGTATTTAATTGAGGGCTTACTTACAGTCTCAGAGGATTAATCTATGAATATCATGGTGGCAGGAATGTAGGCATGGGACTGAGAACTTGCATCCTGATCTGCTGGAAAGAAGACAGAGTGAGAGAAATACTGGGCTTGGCATGAACTTTTTAAACCTCAAAGACCTTACCCAGCAACACACTTCCTTCACCAACGCCACACCCCCTAGTCTTTCTAACACAAGTGCCACTCCCTGGTGACTAATCATTTAAATATATGAGAATGCGGGCACCATTCTTATTCAAACTGCCAATGTGGACCCAGCAAAACGTGGCTCATTTCTCTTCCTCACTTGTGTCCTGATGTAACAGTCCTTCACTGGGCATTTCCCAGTGGCACTCCTGTTATGGTGGCCCTTTCTCAATTACAGTCTGATAGGCAGGTTCTTAACCATGATAAGGGATAACTGAGTCACAATGAGAGCTTTTGAGACAAATTCATACCCAGGATCCATAGCAAACAATTAAGACAGAATCTTTGTTGTGGTGTTGTTTTAAGTTTGGAGTGTGTGAACCAGGATCAGGAGTATAGATAGATATGCATAAATAATTTAATAATATTATAGTGGCAATAAGGTCTTTGAAGGGACTGGGATAGATAGTGTCAGTCTGTTTGGAGATCTTCTTTAGATTATGCCATTAGGCAAAATCTTCCTAAGAGACATATCTGTAGAGATGTAGAAGGTAGTGAGGAAAGTTAGACACACCAGTTTCCCTGAAAAGTTTTCCAGACAGATGAACTAGCAAGTCCAAAGGGCCTATGGTTGGAAGGGTGATTGTTTGCACAATTGGACAGAAGAAAAGCATAGCTATACAAATAATTTTAGCTATGTACAGTGTTGACGGAGTACAGAGAGGGTATTGTATCACCTTTAGCTGAGTTACAGATGGTTGTGAAGTACCTGATGTGGCCAATGGGAAACAAACTCAGGTCCTTGCAAAAGTAATACATACTCTTAATTGCTAAGTTGTTCATCTCTCCCGCTGTTACTTATATTTTTACAAACCTCACTGACTACAGGAGATGAATGGATTTTAAGCCCTGAGGTCACTGTCCTCGAGATAAGCAGATTTCCTCTCCCAAGCCATTTGACATAGCTGACTCCCATACTGGCTGAGCAGCTTCCTCTTTAAGTTACACATGCTTCAGTGGCTGTCCTTATCTGGTACACTTTGTGCCAAACTGAGATGTTAATCTAATTAATGTTAATCAATACAAAATTAGGAGTCAAATATTTGGGTAAGAACCTGAAAGATCAGAGAGTCAGTAGCAGCTACCAGTAGCTTCCTACCTCTTTGTTCCTCTGTCCAAAAAGGACAAGGGCTCCTCTCTCAGCCCTGCCTTGCCATGTCCTGTCTTCTCTCTCTCAGTCCTCCAGACCTAGCTAGCTCTGCCCTCTGACTCCAAGCAAACTTTATTTGCTAGCACACAGTCAAATTATCACTCATTTGCCCCTTTTTATATAAAAACAAAGGTTTTAACTAATGGAAAAACAATATACAATATGTACAATAACTATATACAAATATATATATAGGCAATAATTACATTAACAGTGTCTAATCCATAGCATGTGACAAATTCAGAGAAAATACTCCATTTTATCTTGGTGAGGCCAAACTGTTGTACATAATTCACTTTCTATCCTGACTTATAGTACCAGCCCAAAAGTATCTTTTTTTTACACTTTACACTTTTTTGTGAGTTTCTTTTCTGAACTGACAAGGAAAATAACCATAGCTATCTGTTCTTAACTCCATCAGAGACCTGAGAAGGATATAATATTACCTGGGTAAACAGGAAGTGCAAAGCAAACTAAGAAAGGACAGAAACTGCTGATTGCCTGGACATTCACCGAAGGTTCGTCTGCAACCTTGGGGAATCCATACCTGGCCTACAGGTATATATGACAGAAATTTCTGTGAACCAGGATTTTTGAAGGACTTTCCCACCTTTTCTTGGCAGAGTTCGGCAGTCACTTTCTTTTGTTCCCTGATTGTCCAACTTGGACAGCATACTGTCAGCAGTTGAGGCAAGGGCAGTTTCTTGCCCAGTGGCTAGCTTTTACCACATAGAAAGTAAACTCAATTTGGCTTTTCTTTGATGCCTATCATCTTCTCTGAAGTAGATTGGTGCTCCCAGGAACAGACATGTCTCATTGTCTTAAAAAAAGAACCTTATGCTATTAAAATATGTTAAGTGCCATATTTTGTAGATTTCCAAGGTTTGGAAGACCACCTGTTTATATAAAATATCTCTATTTGACCTCGAAAATATACCTAACCTGAGTACAAGCTTGATCATAATAGGTGACTAACTACTCACCTGCATTTCTTTATTATCCTAAATACTTTGTAATAATAAATTTTGAGGATCAGAAATTTAATTACATTGTTCGATGAGCTGTATAGGTACAATACACTGACCAAGAGTAGAAATCTATGTACAATATTTTCTAAACAAGACAACCTTAAGTTTCTATCAATATATAAACATGCCTTTAATAAGAGTAGAAACTTATATATCGTATAACAAAGATAGCTTCAGATTTGTATTATTGTACAAAAACCTATGCCTATACCATCTGAATGGTGGACATGGAGGGAATGTGTGAAAGTATGTGTGACTGGGAGGAAGTGAAACCACAGTGCTGTTCGGAAGCAAAGCTGCCCAGTGGTGAGGGCCTAAGCACAGTAGCATTTGGATGCCAAGGACCTGTGGAGTTTGGGGCTTGTGGAGATTGCTCTAGAAAGGCTGCAATAGGAAAATTCCATACTCAGAGGGCCTGAGGGGTGGGAAGGAGCATGGTTACTCCAGCACGTGGAGCTCCTATGTGCAGCTGCAGTGGGTGCTGGTGGCTTCAAAGCCATGGGCAACTATTTTGTGAATTTGTGCTCCAAAAGTTGGGCAACAAATGATGTATTTATCTAAATAATGTTAATCAGTAAAGACGAAGGAATCAAATATTGTGATAAAAACCTGAAAGATTAGGGAACCAGGAGCTTCCTACCTTTTCTGTTCCTCCATCTAAAAGGGCCAAGCTCTTCTTTCAGCACTGCCTTACCACTTCCTGTATCCTCTGCTACAGTCCAAACCTCTATGTTCAACTAGTGGCTAGCTCCACCCTCTGACCCCAAGCAAGCTTTATTTGTCAGAACACAATCAAAATATCACACAACACCTTAACTGCCTCATTTCAAAAGCACTGTCTGTTGGGCTACCTGACTTTCCCATATGGAAATGAAGATGCCTTGGGATTGATCAGGAATGATGTGAGCCACTGTTCCAGGCATGCAATGAGTGTTCCTTAAAGACTGTTATTAATCATGAGTGGATGCAAAATGTGCGAACATGAAGGAGCAGGAACCTCAACATGCAGAGGCCCACAGAGCACCATGAGGGAAGCATGGAATGAGTGGAAACGTCCATGTCATGGCTGTCTGGGAATGACACTGAGTGTAATTAATGGAAATGGGTGCCTTTCTCAAAAAATGAGGTGAGAGAAATGTGGAGGAAGACACTAAACAATGACCTCTGGCTTACACACATATTTGTGGTGTAGCTATGCACAACACCTGGTCCCAGGAGGCAGACACTGTGTGTAATCAATGGCTCAGACCTTCAACTTAACTTTATGCAGAAGTCATCTTGCCTTTCTAAACCTCAGTTTCCTTATCTGTTACCTGGGAATGATGATATTATTAAGGTTATAATGCCCATGAGAATATGCAGGCTCAGTTCTTTGTACTGATGTATATTCAAAAGCTTCTGAACTGAATGAAGCATGAGTGATCAGAATTTATTAAAACATTAGTGTGTTCTGTGTAGAAGGCACTAAGCTTCAGATCAAAGAGCTCTATCTCAAGTCTCATCTCCTCCCTCAATCCTCTGCTGATAGTTTTAGCATTTCACTCAATATCTTAGAATTCTGGTTTTTTTTATATATGAAATAGGGTTAAAGTTCTTGCCATGCAGAATTCTGATTAGTGTTGAATGAATCTGTGGAAACTCTTTTAACATTTGTCAACCAGGAACCATTGTCTAGATCTGAATGCCCTTCTGGAAAATTCTGTATGTGTTTGATTTTCTGTTGCTGTGATATAATAGTCTTATCAGCAGTAACTTAGGAAGGGAAAAGATTTATTTGGTTTATGTTTCAAGTCACAATTCATCATTAAGGTGGTAAGGGTGGGAACTTAAAAGCAGAAACCATGAATAAATACTACTTGCTCCTTACTGTCACACTCATCTAGCTTTCTTATACAGCCCAGGATCACCTGTGTAGATATGGTACCACCCACAGTCAGCTGGGCCATCCCACATCAATCATCAACCAAGATAATACCTCATAGACATGAACGCAGACCAATCTGATCTGGGCAATTCCTCAGTTGAGAATCCTGCCGATGACTCTACACATTCTCAAATTGATCACTGATGCTAACTAGGACATGGTAGTAGGCATTTAGCGATAATAAAGGGGGAAAGAAAGACCTGCACTCAGCCCAGCTGTGTCACTTCTGAGACGTGTGAATTTGATTCAGGTACTTGGCCCCTTTCAGCCTCCCAGTGTGAAGTGTGATAATACTTTCAAGCCATGTTCATTGATAGGATGTTGGTATAAGGAGCAAGAGAATTTCTAGGACCTTTACAAA